GGAGTGTTGCGGGGGTGGGGAGTCACGCGAGAGGGGGGCGCCGACGGTAAGGGGTCCGCATTCCACAGACAATGTCACGTTTTTTAATCCCCGTTTTACTTTATTTGCGCCGCCTTCGGCCGCGAGGAAGGCCCAAACGGTTAAAGTTCGACTTCTGTCCCTGTAGCAGAGCGCCTGGTTTTGCGACGTGCGAAGCGTAAACGAGGCCGAGGACGACGTATCCTTGCCGCGTGGACGAAGGAGGCAGCAGCACCGCGAGGCGCGAGGATTCCACGAATCTCTCTCAGGGTGCGCGCGAATTTCGCGCGGGGGTTAAGAGAGAGCGATAGAAGAGAAAAAGGAAAAGGAAAAAGTTTGAATAGACCGAGCGAGGAGAGAAAAGAAGATATGTCCGCCGTCGAGAGTGCCTTGGATGTCCTCTCCAGAGCAGCGACGATGGTGCAAGGTCAGTTTACACTTTTTGGAATTCCTTGCGATTTGTGCGAATTATAGGGTGACCAGAATCTTTTACCTTTTTCTTTTCCGAGAACTCAGTCTCCTTCTTGAGAACGACGCGCTTTTGAAAGTCCTCCAGTTTTATCCTGGTTTTGTATTTTCAACGTTTAATTGAAAAATTAGATGTATTTCTTTTTTTCTATTTATTACTTTTATCCCGCTGTATTAATTGCTTATTGTCGTAATTATATTAAAAGACGTTTGAATAAAATAATACTATGAAATACTTGAGAAAATTATGAAATTATGAAAATTATGAAATTATGAAAATTATAAAATATTTAGTGAACATTTAATATTGAAAGGCAAATATCTCTGTTTGGCAAATGCAAATGTTGAAATTTTTCGTTTTAATTGCATAAAGGAATCTGGTTGTCCCATTTACCAAGTTCGCCGAATATCGCAGGATTATTAGCGATTTCGTCAGCGATAATGACGTTAAACTGTGCTATTCTTTGAAAGATTTGGCACAAGAACCAAAGCTATAACAGTTTAGCGAGGCTTGAAATAAGAACTGAATGAAAAATTCAATATCATTCCCAATTATTATATTTTTAATGTATAAATTTTCAACATAATATTATTATCAAAAATTTAATATTATCCAATTTGTAATATTCTAACGTTATAAAATAGAGCTAAAGAATAATACTATAACAAAGTATAATCAAATCATTAAATACGCAAATGAATGAAAAGCAATAAAACACAAGGCTGACAACATTTATAATTATTTCAATCGGATTTATTCTATCGCATTTCTACTTGCAGAAATTCTTATACGTCTTTCTCTTATTTACTTTCTTATTAAGCACGGTTTTCTTGAAGAAAAAAAAGAAAAAAGAGAAAAAAAATTAAACTTTGATTTAAAAAAAATTTTTAATTTCAAAAATTTCAAAAATTTTAAATTGTTCAAGAATGCGGCGTAAAGATATAGCTCGACGATGAAACGTAGCGCTATCAAATTCGCGCGAAATGCACAGACTTCAGAAACAGCGACGACTATTTGACATGCCGTCGACATTCCGCGCATAATTCGTTTAATAGTCATTCTATATTTCGCGCGCGTGCACGGTGGCGTTAACCAAGCTCGTTCGTATGCAAGTCGGCACGGGAATTGCCGTAGGTATCGCTATTATTATCGCAGGTGCCGTGTCATAATGCAATGCGCCATTACCTGACATAAATACGCACAATCATAACACACTGTTACAATCTGTGCGGTGTATCCGCGCAATCGTTTTTTATACGGAATCGATCGTACGACGTTGCTGGTGAGCAATCGCATTCTTTACTTTGTATTCAGCTATTCGCTTCTTACGAAATTGCCTTTTTGCAGAATGATTCGAACATTTTTATTGCGCGATTGCTGAAATAAGGAGCACTGTTTGAATAAGTACAATCAGATTGATCCATCGTGCGCAATCTGGCGCTTTTACATTTAATTTAAATTTTTATAATATCTGGGGAACATACTTGTTTCTTTTTATGTAATTAATTGTATTTTTGTTGTATTAATTGTAATAATTAATTGTATTTAATACTGCTTTATGCTTCCAAAAGATAACAAACGCCGATAAGTCGCGTGATATATCCTTGTGAATGTGCGCAAACGCGGACATCTGATTATGCGAATATAGTGTAATCAGTTAATTAGTAACAAAAGTTTTAAATGTGGCAACCATTATAATCTATAAATGAATTTATTTCTAAAAGAGTGTTGCAAACAAAAAAGTAGTACACGTACGAGAGTTAAATTGTTTCGAGCAAAGCATTAGATAATGCGTTTAAGGATAAGGCATTTCGGAGATTTCAGGATCAATTCGGTTTTTGAAAATAATATTGCATATTTTTTTTAACGTAAATTAATTCTTCTCATTTCAATTCTTCTCCTTCTTCTGCTTTTAAAAACATTAGGTAACGTATTTCGAAATTGAACAGTTTTGATTATTTAATTGTTATTAAATTGAACTAACTGAAATCTAGCATAAACACCACATGAGAGATTATTGTAAACACAACACAGAGGAATAAAGACACTACTTTTCCAAAGGTAGTGGTTAGTCTCTTATTGTAATGCCAATACTATCCTTAACAGATAACGAATGGCTGATTATTTTCCAACAGAAATAGCGAATACGATTACATTAAACATCTAACAATAATTATTGCGTAGCAACAAGGTTGTGTCGAGAAAATTTTCCAGACAATTTTCCAGAATACATCCAACGTCGATTATGTTATAATAATATCATTAGTTATCAGAGCTCAATAATCGGTTTAAATCGGTTAAAATCGGTTAAAAAAATATATAATTTTATTTTAAAAAACCGAGTTGGTGTGGAATTTCCGAAATATCTTCATTCATAAAACAACGCATACAGTATCTGATGTTCCCTTCGAAATATTTTAATTTTTATATGTGTTACTTTTTTTATTTATCTATATATTTTTAATTTTTAACTGGCGAGATGTTATTTTAACATGCACTTTTCTAAAATAAAAACTTTAAATTTCGTCATTACGTTTCTCTGCTGATTCATTGCGCTTCAACACAATGCGTGCTTATCATTTGATAAATTTATCTGACTCGAGAAAAAATTTAGAGCGGCCTACAATGCGTTCTCTAAACGCTTTCTATTTTGTGAAGTGATAGAATACATTAATCGTTTATAATTGATCGTTTCACGATATTAATTCGATTTAATTAATAAATCTGGAACAAATCTAATTAAATCTGCCGTTTATTGTTACGAGGCGATATTCAACCGAATCTTAATCTTATTTAAGCTCGCTGATTGCACTCAGTACCTCGAAATGTCACAATACGAGTTCCGCATTGTTGCCGTTTATAGCCGCGATTTCCACGTATTGCAGATTAAGTACACGTGTTCAGTTCTCTGTGTGAATCGCTCGCGAATGCATACATTTGCTGATCTCGAATTTTTATTCTTCAACGGAGCGAGTATCTTCTGCTTATGGCGATGCATTTTATCAGAAGGTTTAAAAATGTGCTTTGGCTGCTTATTTTTTTAATTTTATTCCACTTTTGATTTGAATGATAATAATGACTTTAATACACATAGACGAGTGTTAGATTGCAATAGCACATTTTTGTCTACAGATTTAATGCGAATAAAAATTAATCATTTCAATATATAAATGGCACTTTACTAATTTATTAAATTTTCTTATATCTATGTATAATCGCTTTATCTTCCCTTATCAATAACGAAAGTTGATAACATTCCCGCAAAATTGTGCGATAAATTCTTTTTGTACAAACAGCTGTTGAAAGAAAATTATATAAAATATTTTTATATGAGAGTGTGTCAACGTGTGATATATGGATATCGAATGGGTTAAAATAAACGCCTCTCGCCATGATATCAACCGCACGACGCATTCGCGCATGCATCGCATGGATGCGCTAGTTCCATCGTGCGTCTTTATGTATATACAGTGTCACGCATAAAATTATCACTCGCTTTTCCATCCAGACGACAGAAATTTCTTCCTTAGCGAAACCGTCTGCTAGGTTTCTAATCGTTCGACGACCACATCCTTAATATTACGTGCAAAGAAAGTTGTGGTTTTCTTTGTTCTAATGTTTTATCTCGCCACATTCAAAAAAACTGTGTTACATGTATGCATTGCTCGTTCGCGAGTTAATCATGCGACAGTCTATATTTTTGCATTTAAATCGTCTAAAAATGCTGCAATAAAAATTGAAAAAAAAAAGAGATTATTGAGCACTTTTAGTGTGTTTTTATGTCCTGTCTAGATCGGAAAATAATTGCGGCTCGTCCGAATGGATAGTTTGACAGGTTAAAATTTTACTAAATTGTATCAACCGTATCAAATAATTATCCAATTTAAAAAATTATTTGAATTGATACGATTGAAAGCCAATCACTTTAGTGTAATTTTCATCTGTCAAACTATTTCGAATGAACCACAAATAGGATCATCTTCCGGTCTAAACTGAGCATTATCGTATACGTTACTTGTGATGAGACAAAAATAAAATTTAATTAAATTTTTCAATAAAAAATAGATAAGCTTTAAACCATAAGATTTAAATTTATGTACAATCTATCGATTATATACAGTCGGATTTAATCGTTTAAATACGGATAATTAAACACATGTAATCTTTAGATAAATCTGCAATCTTCGCCCACCCTGTACATCGCGTCTACCTGCAAAAGGGAGAAAGAAAGAAAGAGAGACCGAAAGAAAGAGAAAGCGAGAAAAGAGGCGAGTTGGCTTTGAGCCGCACTTATATAGTATCCACCTTATAAACACACGCTCAATTCGCGGTGTGTCCGTGCAAGATACCCTTCGGTGTATGTCGTGTGTGTGTATCAGCGTGTGTGTAAAAGGCAACCTCCTTCGGCCCCACGTGTCGTTAGGGGAGAGGGACGGCGGCGGCGGACGATGAGCCGAGGCGGCGGATGAATGAATGAATCTTAAGACAGTCGTGAGAGGCGCATTCACGAAACCACGAGAACGCATCTCTCTTTGAGGGACGCGCATTTTGAGGGCTTCTCGCGGCTTCTCCTCGTCATCATCATCGCCGTCGTCGCCGCGTTCCTCCGGTTTATCGTTTTCCCCGCATTGTGCGCACCTCGCACATTGCGAACCTCTCCGCAGCTTCCCTTGCGCGAGTGCGTGTCTGTGCGTTCGCGTGTGTCGCTCTCCCGCCTCGCTTCGCCGTCTCTCGTCGCTTTTTGCGTTCCGCGGTTTTCGCATTTTGCTCTCGTTCTCGCGAAATAACATTCTCACCGAATTCCCCGTTTCTCTTGTTTTCTCGCTTGTCGGCTGCTCCTTCCTTTAGACTTTCCAAACAAGTCCGCGACTTCTCCGATGTTTTGATTGTTTGAATGTGATCGAATGTGTTTCGTTTTCGCGCAAGTGTACGAAATAATTGATAATTCAACAGGATTATCTAGGCAGTGAAAATATTAAAAGAGGAGAGGAAACAGATTATTGTATTTCCGCAGACATTTTTTTCAAGAAGAGGATTTTTAGTGAAGACACTCACGCGCGAAATTTTTTTTCTTGCACGATGAAACAAATTATTTGAAAAGAAATAGAAAATAATTCGATAATTTGTCATTCATTACATCGCTGACCGAAATAACGTATATACGTTCGAGAAACTTCGATGAAGATTTGCGCAAGAGCGCGATGGTGCACCGCTGCAATTTCTTTCTGAATAAATTTCGCGGAATACGAAAACATTTTATGTGCACTATTAATCGTTGTTAGTAGATAATTGTGCGACAGAAAAAGCAAAAGTTATATAGAATTTTCTTCGAATTCTAATTATGTATAATAAGTATTGCAATTATTTGCCGTTAAATCAAAATAATTTTTATCATATTTGTTGTTTGAAAATTATTCTGAACGGCAACTTATCAAACGAGTCCTAAAGTGAGAGACAAATAAACTGAAATTTTCGACCTGAGGAAAAAATACGGAAAACAATAAATTTTCGCAGTGATCTTGCTCGCTGAGTGTGTTCGTTCGATTCCTTCTAAGAGTGCCGGTCCCGTTTAACTTGCTTTCGCAATTGATGCTCTCAAGGTCGGTAACATGGAGTTCCCATCCAAGAGGCGGTGTTTCTGGCAGCCGTGGCTTAACGCCGATAGTCTTCAATTGGTTCGCAAACCTGAAGGTATGTCACTTTGCCGAGTGCGAGTGGGAAAAATAAACTAAAACTGAAGAACCTGAAATGAATGCGAAACAGAATTCGAAAAAGTCCAAAGCTGAGTGCAGCAGTGAATTGGAGATGTTTCTCTGCTATATCTCAAGTCTATCGAATCTATCGAATACTTAAAAATTGGAGAACAAATTTTAGCATTGTATCCTGCGGAATGCCGGTGTCGATTGACAGGTTTCGAGTTGCGAAATTGAATAATATCGTACGATCTCAAAGGTATTTCAGGTGTATTGGAATTTTGATGGTTTCAGCGACAAAAATATAATGGGATATTGCAATTGAGAGTACTTTCATTTTGAAGAAATTTTTTTAAAATCTGGGAGGAAACGAAAAAAATTCATATAGCACCAAACGTACGGCCTGACATTCGAATTTTTCAACTTTCTTATTTTAATATTCGAATTTAATATGATTTTGATAGTTGCGAGATTTTAATGAATATGCAGTTAAATATACGTTAATGTTCCAAAACTCACGGATCGGTCGAGGCATTTATTAAAAAATTTTCAATTTTATATCTTTAATTAAAATTTTATTAAAATAAAGTACTTGAAATTTGTGAGGAATATTGTTTTATTATTTATTTGTATTTCTGAAGCGCAGTTCGCGAAGAACCTTTTTTCTCTGAGAAAAAAATAGACTTTAAATTGTCATTAAAAAACATCCACGAGCTTTTGAGCGTCTTAAAATATAAAAATACCTTTGCCTTTTCTATCGAATTTTGATTTTCGGAATAAAGACGATTTTGGCTTTTGTTGGAGGTAGCTTGAGAAGCGAGAATAATTAGCTGTGACTCAGAGATAAGAGTCATACATAGTTAATTATTAGCGTTATCGCGAGTAGTTAACCGATTCTCGAGGAAAGTCTTACCCCACTTCCGTTCGCCACTTCGGTCCATTCATCTTTTCCTCGCTATATACGCGCCTCTAAACCAGTTTCGTCATCTTCCTGGCGATCCTCTCACGGCCATTAGGCACTTCCTGCCCGTCCTGGGAACCGAACTCGTTTTTATCACTATCCTTCTTCGTCCTTCGTCCTTCTTCTTCCATACATCCTCCGCGTTCGATCACGTTGAAGGGTTGCCGTCAGATCGGTTTTCCAATTTTAGATGTCTCATCGCGCGGAAATAGGTAACTCTCGCGGTTTCATAGACTCTGATCGATAACACAGCCTCGCTGCACAGGGACGTAAAATTCGCATCCTCACGGTTTCGAATTTTTGCTTTTTATTCGATTTAAAACCAATTAATAAACTGTTTGGCTAGCTCTAGATTTTTTAATCAATAATCAGTCGATTACAAGACGCGACTATCGAAACATTATATGTACGATCTGAAAATGCTAAATTGAAAGTTTAAGACGCTTAATATACAGTAGAACTGTACCGGGACTGAGATAATTTCTTGTATTTCTACCGGTTTATACTCTTATTTAACATACATTTGACATACATACAATAATAATGAATAACATACATACATACATACAATACAAAATAAAAAGGTATATTAAGCTATCTAATTGTAAGACAAATTATCAGAATATAATAAATTATATATGAAAATAATTTGCTAATTTTTTGCTTTAAAAAGTAATTTTTTTGCTCCAACTATTAAAAAGTTACAAAGAGTTAGATAGTTTAATATACACTCAAAAAAATGATCTTGCAATAATAGCTAAAATTTTCTAGGTGTAAAAAATTAACTAAAACAGATAAATGATTAGCAACTGTTGTGATATTACATATGTAATTACTTAATCAGTTTAGATGACAGAAACAGAATATATATCTGTATTGTTTGTGAACTTTAAAAAGAAAGTTTCTCTAAAGCGCCTATCTATATAAGATCAATCACGAGTTAGATAATGCAATGAATAACATTTAGCAATAGTACCTAAATTTTTCAGAAGCTATTGCTAGAACATTACTGCTATAAATTCTATATGTGACAATGTTTTCACAGATACGAAAAATAGCGATACATTCTTGTTGCGATATCTAGAAATCTAACTACATCAGCGAAATATTTTTTTGAGTGTACCTAAATTAAAAATTAATATAAAACAATCAATCAAATTAGAAAATTATTTAATTCAAATTTATTAATTCAACTTAAAAAACCAGATAGAATTTCATGAGCTTTATTTGATATAAATCTAAAGCTGTGTCAATAATACGGCAGAGTCAATCATATTCGCTATTTTAACATTTTTAACTACTAACACATTTCCTCGCCTTGATATTTGACAGCTGCTTCAATTATTTCTTGTTTATGTTTATATTTTTCTTATTAGCTTTCGACTTTAAAATAATACATATTTCTTTTCTATACATCTCAGAGTTTCATTTCAAACAAAGTTATTGCAAGGAAAAACATGCCGTCCTTCGGGAAATTAATATGCATGTTTGTTTTCGATTATTGAGTTATCTCGGATAACATTCTTGGCTATAAATTATTTCATAAATTATTTTCTAAAATATTCTAGATCAATATGGGGAATGTATTCTAGAACGATGATCCCGATCGGTTGATACAGTACGATCATATATTTGTTTATGTGATATGTGAGAGGACAGTGCTTTTGCTCTGTGAGACAGTGCTTTTGTCTTTTGAGACAGTCGATGACGAACCAACGAACGAAATGTATGAAAACGAATCTATTATTATGAATTATATTACAAGCTGCAAGTGATTGTGAGCAAGAGAATGGTATGCGAGTTGTGATTAAGTACACAATAGAGTGCATTATAAAGACTGCAGGAAAAATTAAAAAATTATGTTATTAGAAAAATTAAATTATATTACTATAACAAAAACTAAATTACTATTATAAAAAAAATTATATAAAATTATATAACTGGCATGAAGAATATCTTGCGTGCATCATCTTATTTGTTTGTCAGACGCTTCGACACTTGAGATATCGTTTATTATGTTTTTTATTTTGTAATGACGCTGAAGGCCTAACACAAGCAGAAACGTTTGTCATTGTAAATGTATAATATAATATAATTTTTGCACAGAATTTAGCTAAGAACTAGTAACGGCTTTTTTTGCCTTTTTCCCACAAGGTTATTTGTTAATTAGTGGAGCCTTAGTATTATTATTGATATTTGATATATAATTAATATAAAAAAAAACCGCACAAACTTTTTTTTACCTGATAGATTCTTGCTGATCTTTAAGAACGATAATTCTATTAATAATATTCCTACGTATGGTTATCTAATATGCTATTATAAAATAACGATTAAATTTTCCAGTCTTTTAAAGCTGAATCAAGAAAAATTTAGTTTTTCTTTTTTATCAAATTAGATTAAGAAAATTGTTCTTGATTTTTGTCGCTAATTCAATCGTTGTTTCTTGTTTAGAATTTCCATCGGTTAACAGCAAAGCTGTTAAGTGCGATAATTAAATATGAAGAATGCATATATATAGTAACATTCTTTATCTTTGCGTGTTGCAGAGGAAAGACCAAAGGCAACAAATTTGCATCGGAAGCCGAGTAGCGCGTGGCGCAAGGAACGCAGAAGGGATCCGATTCAAAGCGAAGCGTTAGATATGTCTGCAGCACGGGGACATCATCACCACAGCAGACCGAGTGTGATCGTTCCTACCACGCCGCAAGCTGGTAAGCAATCTCACCTAAAAAAAAACAAACACAAGAACGTTAAAATTATAGAATTTTTAATAATGAAAGACAATGATATCGTTACAAGTAATCACAAGATTACAAAGGCAAAATTTCAATATTATATATTGAAATTAATATGTTAAATATAAGAACTCAATTTTAATTCAAGTGATAATACAAAGACAAAGTTTTAATGTTAAAGAAAAATTGATGTTTCATGCGATATCTCAATATATACATATAAATATATAGTATAAAATATATATAGGTATATCTCGAGATAAGTAAACATTATAAAATTTGAGAGGAAAGTGAAACCTACATTTATTTTTTTTTCCGTTCGTAGACTTTGAGATAGCGCTGGCTAGAAATTATTCATAATATTATCATATACTTTGTAATGTCATGACTTGCGTTTAATCAATGCTACTTCAAAGTCAACGGATACAATAAAGTGTGAGTTTTACTTCTCTGTAAGCTATCTTATATACATTATCGTTCGGACCGAAAAATTAAATTGATCTTTATAGTAAAAAATAATAAAATGCCGTTTTTCACTTAATTTGTAATATAATATACAGTAAAATTTTAATTAAAAAAGTTACATTTAACAAAATATTAAAAGATTTGGCAGCTAAAAAGAGATTCTTTTTTCAGATTCTGAATCTTTTAATTTAGAACGAAAATAGGTGGTGATGTATGTGCATATTTATAGCATAAAATAGATAAATAGAATATTTTTGATCTAAGAGTAAATAGTCGGTCTAATATTAATGCGTATTCGAGACATTTTAGAAAATGAAGGGATAACTATCGTTTTTCCCGCGCTAAGGGAAGATCGCCCAGTTTGATAGAGCTCTTATTATCATGATATAGCTGAAACATTTGGTGTAAACCATGAATTTGTCGTCAAATAACACTTTATTTTCGAACTGCGCGCCGCTCGATGTTTTTGCTTTACATTTTATATTTTTACCTCGGCTAACAACGGGCCGGTTTGACGGTGTCTAGTTGTTAAGCGTCTCGCGTTCCGAGATTCTATTGTCATCGTAGGGGTGCCTGCGTTCTATGACAATGCATCGCCCGCTGCACACCGGGATACAGTGCAGATGCGAGGCTTACTTTCAATGGGGACATACGTTTAATCCCGACAACGACACCACGGCATTCCTTCGTGTTCGCAGACTTTCCTGAAACATTAATCTTCGTATTAGTCACAGACGAAATTAACGCGGTGACGGTGATATTCAGATCTTTGTCCACGGTGGCGATAAATAGATCTCTTATTCATAAACGTTGATTACTTTGAGAATATTAAAAATCATTTTTTTTTATATACTTATATAGATTATTACTTTATGTTATTTAAGTAGTCAGTGTGATTACTTCGATTTTTAATCAAAATCTATTAACGAAGACAATTGCAACATTCTTTTTGAACCAAATGTAAAGAAATCTGTCTTTCTTGCTTGTGATTTACTTTGATTCGCATTACTTTAATTATTTTGGAATTGTTTAGACTTAAATGTGCTTTTGCTTTTTCTTCCTTAAAATTTTCTTTTTGCTTTTTTTTCTTCCTCTTTAAATATTTGTTTAATTACTGAAAAAACTCAATTAATATATAATTATATAAATTTATATGGAAAATATGGTAATTACATCTCCGAATTTATGTACGAATAATATTGGGAAGGATTGATTTTTCTTCACATATTTGCTTCAAAAAGAATCTTAAAATTCTCTTCATTTGTAGGTTTTAAAAAATCCTTTAATTTATTTATTAGAAATATCCCGAGCTTTTGTTTTATCAAAAGCAATTTTATGGGTAGATTAGTTCTCGCCACTAATAGAATAGAATAAAAATAGCGCTATTTACCTAGAGCTATGAAAGTCGAGATACGACGAGAAAGAATTCGTTCGCGATTTTTCAGGTGCGACAGCCGAGGACACGGTGGTATCCACGCCGATGACGACACCCAGCGCGGCATCGGGTGGACAGAGGACTGGCATCAGAACGGCGGGTGGTGTGAGCGATCCCGCGATTGACGAGCACTTCAAGCGGTCACTGGGTCCGAAGAAGTACGCGGCCGTCTTTAACGCTGCTACCACTGACAAGGAGGCCGGTCTGAGTGGTAAGTAGAAATAAGTATTAAAAATTTTATTCGCCTGTGGCAACAGTCTGAGCCAGCCTTGGACGACGGCTCCTCCGATCTGGATCCAGGCTGGATCAATCTAGTCTCGTTGGATTTAGTCCACTCGATCTTACGCGTTCTTTGCGCAGTTGACGATCACTTCGCAAAAGCGCTCGGCGAGACCTGGACGAGGCTTCAGGCCATCAATCGAAGCAAGGACTCCACCTAACCACCGGGCAAACCCGCCAGGAATCTTCTCGTCGTCCTCGTCGTTGTCCTCGTCGTCTCTTGGCGACCGTCGTAACCCGATTCCGGGTGAAATCGTTCCAGTCTCGTTCGTTAATTATATACTAGTGTTAAGTCATTATCGATAAGGGTTAACCGAATTCGCAGCCGCGAAGCACAACTGAAATTAGGAGAGATTTAAATAAACATATATTTCGACAGCTGATTATTATCAGGCGGTACGACCTCGCTATAATTCGAAGCTTTCGAATAGGATCTTTTAAATCAATATTCGACATTCTGAGAATATGAGTCCAAAATTTAAAAAATTAAATTAGTATTTTTTATTTTTTTTTATATAAAATTGCATGCGGTATAAAACGGTATAAAATTACATAATTTTATACCGTTATAAGTTTGAATCTGATTGATTTATTATTTTTTTTTTTATTAAACATTTGTTTATACACAAAATTTCTTTTTTTTGTGGACACTTTTGTTTTAATCGGTACGTACCGCGTAAGGAGAGTATCAAGTGTCCTTGATCTTCTCGCTTTTCAACTGGACGCTCGTTGCCGTCGCTTTTTTTCGTCGAACACGCGTGCAAAAATACACCAGGAAGACCGCGCGCTGCATTTTCGTACGTGCACGTCGCGAGCGAATTTGATATTGTATATAGACACGTATTTCCTTTACCGCGCCATTGCCACAGTCATTATCGTATAGTTCCGAGTTACGTACGGATATAAAATTATTTATTATAATGTTTCATATTTCCTCGCAAAGTAATAAGTTTAGATTATATATTATACACATAGGTAATATATGTAGGTAATGATATGGATATATATTTACATAAGCGTGCAACTGCAGCATGTACTCGCGTACAATGATGCGTTCCCTCCTAACATAAATAATTTGAGCAAGGCGAAAGATATTTTACGAGCGAGTGCAACTACTGCGCTTATAATTGCTTATTACTGCTCTCTCTAGAGGGGTCGAATCATTGTCCGCGTGTGCATATTGCGACGATCGTTATGTGTCGAAGGAATAGAACGCGTAAGAGAGCTGTAATTTAATAAGACAGGGCATCGCATTAATTATAAACGTTGTATAAATACCACGTCTTTGTATCGGCCGTAGAGCCGTATTCGGAGCTGTAAAGAAACGGATATATATAGGAAAATGATGATGACAATGATGTATGAGAAGGATTAAAGGAGAAAAATGTTTAATTATTCTCACAGAATGTTCTCCGCCCGACTTCCACAATTCCTGCGAGTAGAATTCGCACGATTTCATGCGCGTCCTCTCGCTCCGACCAAGTTGCCGAATGCTAAGAAGAGTAGTACTGATTTCTAATGGTGCTAGGAAGTTCAGCGCGTACCCCAGCACGCACAGAAGTCAGTACCTCTACCTTCTTATATGAATGAAAAATTCTTCCAACTAAAGTGAAGGCTGTGTCGAGCCTTTATTTGGATCATTAAATTACAATATGCATCGTTAAAAGCTTCGAACGCCTTTGATCGATCTAATTTATTCTTAGAAAGCATGAAATTCGTACATATCAACATTTTTCAATCTTTAACGAACACAAAAGCGAGGAAATGATTTTTTATTTCAGATAATTTTTAATTATTTGCAGAATAATTCGGTAAGAAAGACGAAAGTTCTTTCTTTCGCTGAATTTTGGATTAAATAATTATTTTCTGTGCGATATAAAATGTGCTATGCAAACTGATGAAGCTCTCGAGTGAGATTAGTCTCACGTGCGAAGCCCCACGAGGTTGATATTCATCGATGGAAGCTCAAGGATCCGCGGAACTATGCGCGTCAAAAATTCTGAAATCAGTTATTGACTCTATACAAATGAGAGTTCCAATCTCGCAGAATAAATTCACGTTTCACTTCCCTTTAATCGAATTATTCTATTCGGAATTACGTACCTCGTTCGTTCCGGAAGACCCGGAATTTTAAAGAGGGCGAAGCCGGTTACTCTTCGGGGTGAATGACACGGAGAACGAAGGGGGATGCGATTGGAAGGCGAACGCACGACTGCAAGTTGGTCCGAGACGCGGGTCAGACTACCCCGGAAAACCTCGTGCTTTCTCTCTCGCGATCGAGCGACAGGACGGCAACCGAGCCGGGCAAAAGGAGCCTGCCGATATTTCGAGTGGGGAACATGCGCCGGCCGCGCCGGGGCATTCCCCGGACAAGCGAATGCTGTTATCCGTAGGTGGGCCCAGACGGATGGGACAGACTGTCCCAGGAGCGCTCGGATGGCTTCCTATATGCAGGCGGCCTGTTCACTTGCCGTAAAGCAAAGTGGTAACTTAATATTAGAGCTGAATATAAGTACGGTAATTCCACACCAGAATCCAAAGTAAGTCTACACCTCGCGCCCCGCTCTCCCCCTCCCCCCGTGCGTCCTCAGTCATCTCCGGGACCCCGTTTCCCTCTTACTGCGGGGTACCTCGAGCGTAATAACGCGACGGAACACGAGATATCGCGGGCGTTGTCGCCGCGCTAAGTGCAAATTGCCACCACCCTCTGTCTACAGTGGTCTTCTATTCCAGCCCCACTCGCCTTCTCTCTCCGTACTTGTCTCCTTCCCTCCCCGCTCCACGCGCGTACAACAGCGGTTTTGTTTCTATACATTTTTCATTACGCGGTATACAGTTATGTTGAAGGAAATCATAATTATTCATGGATACTGAATCATTAAATGTGATAATTAAATGCAGAAATATCCTTGTGTGATTCGCGACAAGCAAACGTTAAGTGCAGTAGTTTTTTTTTAATTGCAGTGTTTTTAATTTTTTAATTTTATTTAAAATATTTAACGATAGATTGTGATACACCTTTGATATTTTTTAGAAAACAAAAAAAAACATCAAATTATTGCTAGTTTTGATGATTTGAGCACGTATGTCAATACAGATTAAAAATTTCTAAAATGGTTGCTTATTGTAAAACACATGATAAATTGTGTAATTATCTCTATCTTTTTGTGTGAAAAACATGTTTGTTCTTTCATTGTCTTTAAGCGATTTTTAACGAAATACGAGATAGCTGTTCTCAAAGTGCGGCCTTGCAATTAAGGCCAACTACATTATCATTTACGCATCTCTTTATACATCTTTTCTACGCATTGCAAAAAACAATAACAATATTTTTTAAATACTTTTAAACTACTTACACTTGTGTTAATTTGATGTGCTAATTAAATTTATTTTTATGATTTATTTTATCAATTTAATATCGTCTATAAATTGTTATTCAGGACATTATTTACTGCCTAAAATCTAGTTTTATTTTAATATCAGATTATACAACGAGAAACTGTTAAAAAAATTAAATATCGGACAAGATTAGAATAAGAATCGTTAGTCATCTCAATTTCTTTGATATGTAATATAACATATATCCGAAATAGCACTCATTTCTCAAAATAGTTAAACATTATTGTATCTTTGAGCTGTTTTTGAATTTTTTTTTTACTGACAATACTATTATTTCCTATTTTCTGTTCACAATGTAATTCGTCATCAGCCGAGGGGTAGATTGTCAGAACGCGTCATCCCTGATAATTTATAATTAATGGGGAGTTACCTTGCTTCCGGGACACGCAGCGCAGCTGGAAATGGGCCAGTAGATCGCGTTGGGGCAGATGCTTGCATAAACGCACATTTTCCTACAACACGCAGGTGTTGTCCAACATATCGGCATATCGAAAAGTATATCGATTCTACGACTCTAGGACGTGAAACGAATACGAATTTCGTGTACGATTATGTTTTCAAACTGAATTCTTGTAGTATAATTCTTGGAGTATAAAACTGAATTTAATATAAATATTAAATATTGAAATTTTATAACATTTTGTTATTTATACTGAATATGTGTCAATATTACTGAATATTCTATCTCTCTCTCTCTCTCTCATTTACTATAATAACATAAGATTTAATTTAATTTTTTGCATTCCATTCTGGTGCCGCTACGGCGATATACGTAGTGTCACAACTCGTCACAACTCTTCACAACTTCTTGAAGTGCAAAAAGTCAAAATTTAAATAGAAATTGTTTAGTTTAAGTATTAACTCTGCGAATGAGAAACGACTCTGAAACTTTTTCGTCCTCATTTTTTATTCTAATAACTTAAAAAATTGTCTACAATTATTTTCAGATTGAACATACATTCGCTTCATTTAGCATGCAAAAAGTATTAAAAAATGCAGCAAGAACATAAATTTGTAGTCGATTTTACTAACATTGTTTAAATAATTGAGTAATTTCTAATAATTCATTACAAATATAAAACAATTTTGATTTCTAATTATTCTATTATACTTGTTTGAAAAAACAACATTTTAAGGAATCAAAGGATATTAAAAGTTTAATGGAAACGTTATTTACCTTGAAAATGTTTCGTAAAATCGACCGACAGCGTGTATAAAATTATTTTTCGTGCACTTACGTGTCGATTGTAGGTGATCGATAAGCACCGATATCGGGCGCCAATCGCGTACTAACTTCTATCGCCTCACGGAGACGTGACATGTTACCGTTTGTTTATCTCAGGTCTCTCAGGCGTATCTCGTTTCGGAACCAGATCCGACCGCAAGCCGGCGTTGTTTTTCCGTTTTCTTCTCTTACATCATTTGCGCGTACCGTGTCAACGTCGAAAAAATACGGAAAAAACACAAAAAGGGAGAAGAAGGAAGTTGAGGGCGCGTCATGGTCGAAGAATAGAAAAAATAGATTAGAATATATTTTGTTTTTAAAAGGCAAGACTTTTTTGGAGCAATATACAAGATCAAGAAATATAATCATTAATTAACGCGTAGATATTTTGAAGATAAATAACAGAAATGGACAAGAAGATAAAAGAGCGGCTAATGTAAACTAGGCTATAACAAAATGTGACTCATGGCCGAAAAAGTCGAAACTGAATAAGCGAAATGGCAATGTGGTAGAAAAGAGTGTGCAAATATTGATTTTAAGAGATAACCGAATCTCAAGATTCAACTTGAAGAAGACACGATATAGAAATACATCGGATAGATTCAATTTAGAAATGTTTAGAACCACAAATCATAAATATAATACCAATATATGTTAGAGAACAATTATAGAAATATGAAAATTACACAAGAGGAAGGAGAATCGACAGATGCGACAAGAACATAACGACTGCGTCTTGCATTGACTAGTATGCGTAACGACGCATGCCTTGCATCGAAATCCCCGAAGCCACCCCTTGCACGAACATCGAACCGCCCCCATGCAGACGTGCCGAGTCATCCTATTCCAAAACATCCCCTCGTGAATCCGACCGATCACTATTCCGCGACTTCTCGACAAATGGGCTATAATCCTTGATC